AAATTAGGATTCAGACCAAATATTTATGTATTATTGTAACCAACAAGACAAATTAAGTCATATATCTGGATTTAATTATGATATCAGGATGATCCAGGTATCAAAATGTAGCTTTTAAAGACAAGAATCTGAAAATGTCATTAGATCTTAATCCTCATTTCGATGTGATAAATCACTTTTATTTCTGTTCCATCCTCACTTCCTCTGAAACAGGAGCTGCTTTAATATTTCCTCTTCTGATGAAATCTGAATGTAACTTGATTTATTTCTGTTAGTGTAAATGCTGACACACACACTCAGGTACATCTGGGCTCATTAAAGATGATTTAAAGGTTGTTGACGTGTTTTTCTCCTTTCAGTGCTGTCCAAGTCGTCCTCATCCACCTTCAGCGTGATGAGAAGGATTGTGGCACACGACGGCTTTAAGGGGCTGTTTGCAGGTGAAACACACCTGGATCAGTTGGTTTTCTGGTTTCTTCAGGTAAATAACAGGAGTGTTAATGGTGTGTGTGTGTGTGTGTGTGTGTGTGTGTCTGTTGGCAGGTTTCTTCCCCAGGCTGGTCAAAGTGGCGCCTGCCTGTGCCATCATGATCAGCTCGTACGAGTTTGGAAAAAGCTTTTTCCACAAACACAATCAGGAGAGGAGGCTGAGGTTGTTACAGACCAACAACACGTGACGCACTAACAACAACCACTTTATGTAGACAAAATAATAAATAATAAACACAGAGGGAGTGAAAAACAAACCATTTCATCATTTTCTTCTACAGTTACATTCTCAGTTGTTTGACCACCAGCAGGGGGCGCCAGTGTTGAGTTCCTGCTCACCTTTGGGTCAGGTGATCAGTGTCCTGAAAATACAGAAGCTAAATGATTTTTTTGTTTGTTCTTTGTGTCACTCATGAAGCATGTTGACCTGATTGTGTCACTGAAACCACAACAGGAATCAGCTCAACAACAGGAAACTGACAATAAAATCACATATTTACAACATGACCTGGATTTCTTTGTCAAGCACCACTGCAGCACTTCCTGTTCATTAAAAACTCAACGTTCTGGCATCAAAGCAAGTTGAGTTTATTTAAAACAAATAAAAAAGCAAATAAATTCCCAGAAACCACTTTGCTGTGTGTTTGTGTGTTTGTGTAAATGACTGCAGGAGGGTTAGGGTTACTGAGGTGCAGCTACACAAACACAAATGGCTGCTTGTGATTTATTCCTAATGCTCTGTTAGTTGTAGTGAAACATTAAAGTGAAATACAGCCTGTTAATGGTTAAAGGGACGTCAGAGGTGCAGAGTTTACCTGAGAACAAAACTAAGAGATGAAACATGATTTACAGAAAAATAAAACTTTAAATCAATGAAGCTCATCACTGATCTGAGCTACAGTTCATCTGTGATACTTTCATGTAAACATGGCCACAATTTAACCTTTTTTTTCAATAAAAAATAATAGTTCAGATATTTTGGGTTCTGTGGGGAGGTTATGACTAATCAATATCTTACCTGCTGCTGATAGTTTTTTGATCAACTTTAGTTTGGAGAAATAGAGTTTAAATGAGGATTGATGAGCTAATAGTTTGTCTGTGTGACCAGAAGGCTGAAAAATGGAATAAAACAGAACCGTTCAGTATCAATCAAAATGACTGATTATTGATCAGGTTTGTTTTGTTTTCTCTAAATGAAATAATGATCAAACTGCTGATGCAACTTTTCATCTTTTCTCCACAGTTTCCTCTCGAGCTGTTGTTCATTTCTTCCTTTAACTGCATCATCTTGTTTTATATTTGTTAATGAGTTGTGAGGAGCGCTGGTGAAACATGAAGCTGTTACTCAACAGGTAGATTACCTCAGGTAAGAGTCAGCTGACGCCTCCAGCCTTGGTTAGCTGAGCTGTGAGGTCCAGCAGCTGAAGCCTTTCCTCTGCCTACATCTCCCAGAATGCCTTGTGGTTCTGGATCAGAGTTCATCAACATTCCGTTGAACATATTTTCTATTGATCACGTGTTTATTTCAACATCTATGGTTACTGTTTTACAGCCCAGTCCCAGTACGAACTCAGTCATTTCATAGTTTATATGAAAAGTTTGAAACCTTTTATATCAGTTTTTTGCTACATGATTATTTCAAGTTAAAAGTCTCATTTGCAGTTCGTAGCTTAGAGACAAAACAGTAAAATAATATATGAATAATAAGGAGCATTAGACTCACGTACTGCACCGTTCATGTTACACAGTAAGGCTTGTTCGCAGCCTGGATCATCAGCAGGAGGAAAACATATTTCAACCAGAATAAACTTTAACTTTTTCAGTTTTTAAAATAACCTTTATGAGTCATTAATAAAATCTTTGACTTGTTTTAAGATGGCAGCAATCTAACTCTCCAAACTGGGGTCTCTACAAAGAGCCATCAACAGGTAAGATATTGTTGTTTGTAAGCTTTCCAGTGAACCTCACTTCCAAACGATCCTTTTAGTTTTGTAAGAGGAAGGAAGTAACGTAAAGCTTTACAAACACAACCTCCTCATGTCTCAGTGTGGTACATGTCGAGCTCGTCAGTGTCAGCTGTGACATCACTCAGTGATGAAGCTGCTCCTCGCCTCCTCGCCTCCTCGTCTCCTCGTCAGGATCAGGATGGATCAGAGGAGAATCAGATTTACACACAGGAGGGGAAAGGTCCTCTATGAAGGAGTGAGGCCTGGACTGCTGAGCTCTGTGGCAGGACTGGCTAAACACTCGCTGGACTTCAGGCTGGCCAGAGACTTGTAGCTGGTCACTGAGGTCAGAGAGCCACACAGACCCCTGAGTGACGGAGTCTCCTCCTTACCTGGAAGACAACACATGGTTACTGTCCAGGTGGACCACAGAGGTCCTCTTGGTTTGATCCGTAAGAGGAGGCGTGCCTTGGTGAGGCCACTGCGTGCTGGCCGGTCTGGAGTCCAGGCTGAACATGTTGGACGGTCCCAGAGAGGTCTGAGAGAGGCTGATGTCAGCAGACAGATGATCCAGACTCTGGAAACTCTTCCTGCATGAAGACGACAGAAACAGGTCAGCCTGAAGCTGCTCAGGTTCTCTGCTTCCTGAAGGAACCAGCCTGAACCAGCCTGTGTTTCTGCTCCTAAAGCCTGCTGTCTGCAGGCTGCAGACTGATTAGCTTCTGCTTAATTAGGTTCCACTCATTTTAACTCCTCTAAAAGACTCAAACTTCTATTTTTATGTCATTTATCTGGAATGAAATATAAACTATCCCCTCTTCCAAACAGGCTGAAGATGTCAGGACTGTGTGTAGCATGTAGCATGTAGCAGGTAGCATGTTTAGCAGCTAAACTTCACAAAGACAGTACACATTTAACAACATTTAAAGTTCCTGTGACATGCATTTCCTTCAAATACAAAAAGTAAAAAGAAAACATCTTTATATTTGAGAAAGTTGGAAATAAACACATGATTTTACCCTTTTTGTCACATAACTTATATTTTCTTCAGAACTTGGCTCAGCCAAAGTGAAACAGGAAGTGACATCAGAGGGGAACTCTTTAATAAAATAAACTCTGGTTTTTGTTTATTAAAACAAAATATTTTGAACTCTGACTCTTCTTCATCTCTTTGATAAAAGACTCAAAATGATGAAGAAACGTGATTGTGTGTCTGCAGCTGAATGACATGAAGATGTGAGACAGGCTGAGGGTTAGCCTAACGTCTGCTGTGTCGACACACAACACAGGTCTTTGGAAAGACCTTCCTTTAAACTGAACTTTTAGGACTGAAGGTGAGTACAAAACCTACTAAAGTCTTAAAGAACAACATCAAACTAAAATAAGACTTTAAAACTTCGTAGAAACTAAGGATTAGGATTAAAGATGATCAGAAAGTCTGAGTTCTCAGCAGGGAAACATGTGGATAATCCTGGTCCAGTGCAGCTGTCCTGCATGTTTGACTTGTGTCACTGCTCTAACACACCTGACTGAATATGATGTGTGATTAACAGGCTCCACAGAACCTGAACAGGTGACCCAGTCACTGATGTGAGTGTGTTGGAGCAGGAAACCAGTCAAACCTCATCTGAACTGTCTTAGATCTAAAGTTTATACAGAGCACTGTGTGTCTACAGTTTGTGTGTGTGTGTGTGTGTGTGTGTGTGTGTGTGTGTGTGTGTGTGTGTGTGTGTGTGTGTNCATATATATACTGTATATAAAGAGAGCACTATATACATGTGTATTAATATGCATTTAAATTTATCTTTCAAGTACACACAAATATTGAAATATTAATTTCATTATTTTAAATGTCTAAGACAGTTCTGATTAATAAATATATGAATATCCAGCTGGTCAGATCTCATTGATTTGTATGGAAAAAACACCTGTGAAATGCAAAATACTTATTTTAAGCCAGTTATAGTCATTTAAATGAGTTATTTGTTTTAAATTTCCATAACTATAAAATTCAAAATGTCCTCAGCTTTATTTTGACCCACAGTTTGTAAAAATCGATCAAGAAATAATGAAGTWATAAKAGTTTTTCATCAGGAAGACACCTCACAGTCCACTGACCTCCAGTCTTTGTGTTGAAGCTCATAACACAGCTTCAGTGTGTGCACGTCAATGTAGCTAGCAACACGCTGGCCACGCCCACTCCAGTAATATATATGAATGGTTTTAGTGTAGAAACACATCCTGACCTTCTGCTGATGTTGTTGCATGAGGACAAACTGGTTCTCCAGCTGTTCCAGCAGCTGCAGCTGAGGAAGCTTCAGGCTGGTTCTGTTGGTGCGTAAATGATCCAGCTGCTGAAGGTTTGAACACAGGCCAGGAGGCAGCTTTAACCAACACGCAGGATCAGATCTGAACCACTTAACAACAAAAATACTACATCTGATGGAGTACTCTATAAAGTCAGGGAGTTATTCAATGATAAAGCTCTGTTTATATTATATAACACAAGAATTGTTCCACATTTATTTACTGTGTTGAAGTCTGGGGTAAATCATGTAAAACAATTACATATTTTTATTTTACAGAAAAGAGACGTCAGAATTATCACCAGAAAACATTACAGTCATCCTTCAAATATATTAATTTGTAAATTAAAATTATTAAAATTTTACAAACTGATTATAATATCTTGCAGATTATGTATAAGGCTCATAAAAACGTTGCCTTTAAACGTTCAGTTATATTTTGTTTAGAGACAAAGTTCTTATAATCTTAAAGGACTTGAGGTGTTTATAAAACCAGGAATTTGAACAAATTTGAAGGATTGATGTTTTCAGTTCAGGGATTAAGATTGTGGAATAATCTGGAAAGAGATTATAAAAATGTTGGTTCAATGTGTTTAAGAGAAAGATAAAACTGTTTAATTTATATCTAAGTTGTTGTTTGAGAATGAATTGAAGTTTTTATTTTTTTTCCTAATTATTGC